ATGAATCAGAACTTCCCAGCCAAGCTGTAACAGTTTTTGCCTGGTCATCAAAGAAACATGCGGTCTTGGGTTATCCTGACTCAAGATTCTGCATTTTCTGTTGACTAATTCCAGACGTTTTCGTCGAGTGCTGCTTTCAGTTGGTCTAATTGGGAGTAGTGCTTGTTGGAATTAATCATTTGGTTTTCCGGAAGAAGCCCATAATAGAGGACTCCCTTCCAATCTTACCATACACACAACATCACCTTCTTTGGATGAAGACCGGCCTTTGGTGTAGTTGGTGGTGTTGCATTTTGCTTGCCCCACAATGTTTTCCATTCCACACTATTGTACAGTATCCACTTTTCATCACCTGTCACAATTTGTTTTTTAAACAGAACGTTTTCATTACATTTCAGTAGAGAATCGCATGCAGAAATATGGTCAAGAAGGTTTTTTTTGCTTAACTTCTGTGGAACCCAAACATCAAATTGATTCACAAAACCAAGCTGGTGCAAATGATTTTCAGTGCTTGATTTGGATATTTTGAGTATGTCGGCTATCTCCTGCGTGGTACAATATTGATTGTTCTCAATTAACATCTCAATCTGATCACTATCAACTTCAACTGGTCTACCCGACCGTGGAGAACCATCCAGTGCAAAATCTCCAGCACAAAACTTTGCAAACCGCTTTTGACATGTTCGGTCACAGCACCTTCTCCATACACTGCACAAATCTTCTTTTGCGTTTCAGTTGTGTTTTTACCTTTCTTGAAATAATAAAGCATAATATGCTGAAAATGTTGCTTTTTTTCTTCCATCTTCAATAGTAAAATGGCTACACAAAAATTCACCAATTTTGATGTCTTCTTTTAAATGCACACTGATATGACAGCTGTCACATACAATCTAACAAAATTGTTTCGAATGAAGTTAAAGACAACTAAGTGCTACTAGAGCCATCTTACAGAAAAAACCGTACGAACATTTTGGCCAACACTATATATATATATATATATACATATATATATATATATATATCTGAATCACTTTGTTTTACACCTGAAACAAACACATTATAAATCAACTATACCTCAATAAAATAAGTAAATAAAATTAAATTAAAAATTTTAAGGGCTTCCCTGGTGGCACAGTGGTTCAGAATCTGCCTGCCAATGCAGGGGACACAGGTTTGAGCCCTGGTCTGGGAAGATCCCACATGCCGCGGAGCAACTAGGCCCGTGAGCCACAACTACTGAGCCTGCGCGTCTGGAGCCTGTGCTCTGCAACAAGAGAGGCCACGACAGTGAGAGGCCCGCACACCGCGACTGAGAGTGGCCCCCGCTTGCCGCAACTAGAGAAAGCCCTCGCACAGAAACGAAGACCCAAGAGCGCTGCTTAAAGGAGTTCCAGAGACGGGCGCGAGCCGCGGCTAGAAGCGCGGACCCCAGAGATGGGCAGGAGACGCTAAGGCTGCTGCTGCCGCCACCAAGAAGCCTGTGTGCGAGCACAGGTCACAGTCCACACCTCCCTTCCGGGGAGCCTGTGCAGCCCGCCACGGCCAGGTTTCCAGGATCTGGGACAACTTCCCTGGGAGAATGCACGGCGAGCCTCAGGCTGGTGCAACGTCACTCCGGCCTCTGCCACCGCAGGCTCGCCCTGCACTCCGTACGCCTCCCTCCCCCACTGGCCTGAGTGAGCCAGAGTCCCCGAATCAGCGGCTCCCCGAATCAGCGGCTCCTTTAACCCCGTCCTGCCCCAGCTAAGAACAGACGCCCTCCAGCGACCTACACGCAGAGGCGGGGCCAAATCCAAAGCTCAGACCCTAGGATCTGTGAGAACAAAGAAGAGAAAGGGAAATGTCTCCCAGCAGCCTCAGAAGCAGCGGATTAAAACTCCACAATCAACTTGATGTACCTGCATCTGTGGAATACCTGAACAGACAACCAATCATCCCAAATTAGGGAGGTGGACTTTGAGAGCAAGATTTATGATTTCTTCCCCTTTTCCTCTTTTTATGAGTGTGTATGTGTATGCTTCTGTATGAGATTTTGTCTGTATAGCTTTGCTTCCACCATTTGTCCTAAGGTTCTATCCGTCCATTTTTTTGTTTTGTTTTTTAATTTTTTTAATAATTATTTTTTAATTTAATAACTTTATTATATTTATTTTATTTTACTTTATCTTCTTCCGTCCTTCCTATCTTTCTTTCTTTCTTTCTTCCTACTTCTACTAATTCTTTCTCTCTACTTTTTCTCCCTTTTATTCTGAGACGTGTGGATGAAAGGCTCTTGGTGCTGCAGCCAGGAGTCAGTGCTATGCCTCTGAGGTGGGAGAGCCAACTTCAGGACACTGGTCCACAAGAGACCTCCCAGCTCCACATAATATCAAATGGCAAAAATCTCCCCGAGATCTCCATCTCAACGCCAGCACCCAGCTTCACTCAACGACCAGCAAGCTACAGTGCTGGACACCCTATGCCAAACAACTAACAAAACAGGAACACAACCCCACCCATTAGCAGAGAGGCTGCCTAAAATCATAATAAGTCCACAGACACCCCAAAACACACCACCAGATGTGGACCTGCCCACCAGAAAGACAACATGCAGCCTCATCCACCAGAACACAGGCACTAGTCCCCTCCACCAGGAAGCCTACACAACCCACTGAACCAACCTTAGCCACTGGGGACAGACACCAAAAACAACGGGAACTACAAACCCACAGCCTGCAAAAAGTAGACACCAAACACAGTAAGATAAGCAAAATGAGAAGACAGAAGAACATACAGCAGGTGAAGGAGCAAGATAAAAACCCACCAGACCTAACAAATGAAGAGGAAATAGGAAGTCTACCTGTAAAAGAATTCAGAATAATGATAGTAAAAATGATCCCAAATCTTGGAAATAGAATAGACAAAATGCAAGAAACATTTAATAAAGACATAGAAGAACTAAAGATGAAACAAGCAACGATGAACAACACAATAAATGAAATGAAAAATACTCTAGATGGGATCAATAGCAGAATAACTGAGGCAGAAGAATGGATAAGTGACCTGGAAGATAAAATAGTGGAAATAACTACTGCAGAGCAGAATAAAGAAAAAAGAATGAAAAGAACTGAGGACAGTCTCAGAGACCTCTGGGACAACATTAAATGCACCAACATTCGAATTATAGGGGTTCCAGAAGAAGAAGAGAAAAAGTAAGGGACTGAGAAAATATTTGAAGAGATTATAGTTGAAAACTTCCCTAATATAGGAAAGGAAATAGTTAATCAAGTCCAGGAAACACAGAGTCCCATACAAGTATATCCAAGGAGAAATACGCCAAGACACATATTAATCAAACTGTCAAAAATTAAATACAAAGAAAGCATATTAAAAGCAGCAAGGGAAAAACAACAAATAACACACAAGGGAATCCCCATAAGGTTAACAGCTGATCTTTCAGCAGAAACTCTGCAAGCCAGAAGGGAGTGGCTGGACATATTTAAAGTCATGAAGGAGAAAAACCTGCAACCAAGATTACTCTACCCAGCAAGGATCTCATTCAGATTTGATGGAGAAATTAAAACCTTTACAGACAAGCAAAAGCTGAGAGAGTTCAGCACCACCAAACCAGCTTTACAACAAATGCTAAAGGAACTTCTCTAGGCCAGAAACACAAGAGATGGAAAAGACCTACAATAAGGAACCCAAAACAATCAAGAAAATGGGAATAGGAACATACATTTCAATAATTACCTTAAATGTAAATGGATTAAATGTTCCCACCAAAAGACACAGATTGGCTGAATGGATACAAAAACAAGACCCATATATATGCTGTCTACAAGAGACCCACTTCAGACCTAGAGACACATACAGACTGAAAGTAAGGGGATGGAAAAAGATATTCCATGCAAATGGAAACCAAAAGAAAGCTGGAGTAGCAATTCTCATATCAGACAAAATAGACTTTAAAATAAAGACTATTAGAAGAGACAAAGAAGGACACTACACAATGATCAAGCAATCGATCCAAGAAGATATAACAATTGTAAATATTTATACACCCAACATAGGAGCACCTCAATACATAAGGCAAATACTATCAGCCATAAAAGGGGAAATCGACAGTAACACATTCATAGTAGGGGACTTTAACACCCCACTTTCACCAATGGACAGATCATCCAAAATGAAAATAAATAAGGAAACACCAGCTTTAAATGATACATTAAACAAGATGGACTTAATTGATATTTATAGGACATTCCATCCAAAAACAACAGAACACACATTTTTCTCAAGTGCTCATGGAACATTCTCCAGGATAGATCATATCTTGGGTCACAAATCAAGCCTTGGTAAATTTAAGAAAATTGAAATTGTATCAAGTATCTTTTCCGACCACAGCGCTATGAGACTAGATATCAATTACAGGAAAAGATCTGTAAAAAAGAAAAGAAAAAAAAAGAAACGAAGACCCAACACAGCCATAAATAAATAAATAAATAAATAAGAATTTTTACAGATGTGCAATAAAAACTTTTGCATCCTCCAATTAGTTCCTATGTGCTACCCTACTGATGACACACTTGCATCACTTTTTAAATTACTTCTAAGATATTTTTCAAAAAGGAATATATCATAACTACCCCCCTTCTTTACACAAAAGTTAGCATTAAGAGCATGATCTCTGAAGCCAGATTGCCCATGTTTAAACCCCAGTTCTTCCACAAATTAGCTGTGACTTTAAGCAAGTTTCATAACCTCTTAGTCCCTCAGTTTCCTCACCTTTATAATAAGGTTGTCTCATATGGTTATTTGAGGATTAGATGAGCAAATATATGTATGAAGCACTTAGGACAGGGCCTGGCACACAGTGAGCCACCTATATGTGACATGTGGTGCTGTCACCATAGGGAGGTGTGGTATCAGAAGTCTAAGTGCGTGGGCTCTGGAGTGAGACTGCCCAAGATCAAATCTTACTTCCTTACATGTGAAATGTAGAAAATAATAGTACTTACCCTCACAGGGTCATTGTGAGATTGAAATGGACAGTGCCTCACACTGGGTAAGCATGGCTGTATTTCCTCAGGTCCAAGATGCCACGTATGTAAGACACATCATTATTTTATGGACTAGGAAAGAAAAAAAAATCCAATTAAATTATGACATGCCTTTGACTATAACACATCCTCATTTCAAGTACGTCACAAAGTGAAAAAATGCACATCCTAGAACTGATGAAATATGGGATACAAGTGTTAGCTATTACACTCTTATTTTCACTTAAAAATACATCTTGGATATCATTCTGTATTGGTGCAAAGAGAGCCTCTCTTTTTTTTTTTTTTAAGTGGCTATATAGTAATCCATTGTGTGGTTGAGCCATAAATTATTTAACTGGTCTCCTATTAGTTTCCAGTCTATTGCTGTTACAAACAATACCGCAATGAATAACCTTGCAGACGTGTCATTTTGCAAGCCTGCTAGTCTATCTGTAGGATAAATTTCCAGAACTGGCATTGCTGGGTCAAAGAGCACACGTATTTGAAATTTTGGCAGGTATTCTAAGCTCCAGTTTAAATGGTCAGTCTAATCTCACAAATTCTCACTCTAGAAAGCGATCTTACAGAAATTCTAGCACAAGTTGCAAAGACATATGGAATAACTATAGCAAGAATGTGTGACGTGGAGACATAGTGCAAAGAGCTCTGCAATATAAACTCATCTAAGCCTCACAGTCCTATGAGGCGGGGCTAATTCTCCCCGTTTTACAGTTACGGAGACTGGACACAGAGGGGAAAGCTGCAGAAAGAGGATTGCGCCCAGGCAGCCTGTTTCTAGTCTGTGCTCTTAGCATGATACAAATATACTCTTTTGAAATAGTAAAAAAAAAAAAAAAAAATTGAGAAGCCTGAATGTTCCGAAGTGAGTTAGTTAATATTATTATCGGGGGGGGGGGATAAATTAGGAGTTTGGGATTAACGAATACACACTACTACTCATAAAACAGGTAACCAACAAGGACCTACTGTATAGCACAGGGAACTATACTCAGTATTTTATAATAACCTACAAGTGAAAAGAATCTGAAAAAGAATATATATATATATACATATCTGAAGCACTTTGCTGTACACCTAAAACTAACACAACATTGTAAATGACTATACTTAAATAATATATATATATGTATTGTTATAAATCTTCACTGAGGGAAACAGTGTAACCATGATAAAGAATGAAGTAAATCTTCATACGGCAACCTTAACACATGTCCACAATGTATTGTCTTGTTAAAAAAATTTAAAAGGAGTCTGCAGGGCAGTTAGCACAGGCTGAGGACATTCCAATAGATGTCAGTAGTCATGTATCAATCTGACAGATAGATAATAAAAAGGTCTAGAAGGATAATTAAACAATTAAAGATATTTATTCCAGGGGTTCGTGTCCTGGTCCGGGAAGATCCCACATGCAGCGGAGCGGCTGGCCCCGTGAGCTATGGCCGCTGAGCCTGCGCATCTGGAGCCTGTGCTCCGCAACGGGAGAGGCCACGGCAGTGAGAGGCCCGCGTACCACAAAAAAAAAGAAAAAAAAAAAGATATTTACTCCAAATCCCCGACTGTGAACGAGTGATAGGGACTTCACTTTGTACACTTCCAAATTATTTGAATGTTTTTACTGAGCCTGTTGTTGTTAGAAGGTCATTTAATTCCAGGCAACATTTTCCTTCATCCCTGCACCAATGTCATCAGAAACACCAAGAAATTATTGGGTAAGGACACTATGGACCTTGTGAGTTTAAAAAAAAAAAAAGAAGAACCAACCCAGAGTCAGAGAAATATAGTACTGACCTGTACTACTGTATTACTTGGGAAATGGTTCAGCACTATCGTCTACTAAAGTCACTTATCAAATACTAATAGTATTTAAATGACTACAAGACAGTTCATTTTCCTTTAGCACTTTTCATATTGTTTCCTCCATTTCTAAGTTCTTTTGACCCCCTGGAATCTGCCCGAGCTGACTTGAATTTCTCTTTCACCAGATACCAATTAAAGTAAAATTTAAGATCTTTTACACCAGGATGTGTGGGGGGTGCTGTCTATGAATGATCCTAAAAGGAATCCTTTGTTTTTGAAAGGTCCAGTCTAGGCTGAGGTGGTGGAGTAGGTCTGAGCACACAGAGCAAAGTCATTGATGATTTCGGGAGAGAGAATTCCCTGGTGGTCCAGTGGGTAGGACTCTGCGCTTCCACAGCAGGGGCTACTCTTCATTGTGGTGCGTGGGCTTCTCATTGCAGTGGCTTCTCTTGTTGCAGAGCATGGGCTCTAGGCGCGTGGGCTTCAGTAGTTGTGGGTCGTGGGCTCTAGAGCACAGGCTCAGTAGTTGTGGTACACGGGCTTAGTTGCTCTGCGACATGTACGATCTTGCCAGACCAGGGATCAAACCCATGTCCCCTGCATTGGCAGGCAGATTCTTAACCACTGTGCCACCAGGGAAGTCCCTAAAGGCAATTTTTAAGGAATCAGTTCTCTACCAGGAAAGCCAAGAAGAGGACTAAAGTTTCATCTTCCTGTAAAGAACTGGGCTGCTGAGGTTCTCAGCAGGAAGCATCTCTTCCAGTCCACCAGACCCTCTGAGGTCCAAGCTGTTCCACTCACTTCAGGCTCTGGATAAAGTTCCCATCAGGGGATCCTAATTTTTCATGGCTCTCTTCTTTTTGTCACCCTTTTCATACTTCTTAAAGTGGTCAGCTCTCCTTCCAACTTCATCTTAGCTTTTCTTTCATTGTTAGCTTTTTTTCTCTTTCATACTTCTGCTGAGAGTTGTTTTGGAGTATGGGGCATTTGGAAAACTTTAGGAGAAAAATGTTCTGCCTCCTTTCTCGTTGATCTAAAAATGTGATGTTCACTGTATCCTGGGAACCCTTTTTTACTGTCCCATTATTATTCTTCCCTGGAATCTCGGAGGTGACTGGAAGGGGTTTCTGGAACTGATATGGTTCCTGAATTCGTAAACTCCCTTTGCGTCCCGAGGTCAGAGGGATCCACACTCTCTGGCCATGGTTGGAACCTTAAAGCTAGAAGTCATATTTGATGCTTTACAACAAAAAGGGACAGAATTTGCTGTCTTCTTTGAGATCTTTCCCATAACTTCTCATCTTCCTAGTGGATATTTGCTACTGGTGCTTTGAGGTTTGTACTTCCTTTCCTTTTCTTTACTTTCCTTATTTAACTAAAACATTGTCTTGGTTTTCTTCTGCTTCACGGTAGTATTCAAAACATCTATTCTTTTCAGCTGTTCTTCCTTCATGATGAAAGGGATCAACTATGGATACTGGAAGAAGCCTGCTTCCTGATCCTGTGTCATTTCAAGAATACGCTTGTGATGGGGTGCCCCCCTCAGGGCCTTCCTCCTCCCCAAGGGGTGGTCCATCCCTCCCTGCCTTTCTTCTCCTTTATGAACCCGCCATCAATTCTCCTGCAAAGCTCAGCATCCAACCCCAAGCCATTTGCTCAGGAAGCTCCCTGTGCAGCCTCAGCCACAATGCCTCCCCTGCTTTTCACTGGAACTAAAGCACCACTTCCTGGTTGTGACTTTATGTGAAATATATAACTTCCTGGATTGCATCATTTCCTGGAGGCCAGCATCTCATCAAACCAACAACTTTCCCATTCAAATTTGTCCTTGTCACCTACAGTGTACTTGGAAGTCAATGCCTGATTTCAGTCCCTCATTCAAAATTTGTTAAGAGTGTGTTAAGTGGGACTTCTCTGGTGGTGCAGTGGTTAAGAATCCGCCTGCCAATGGGTTCGAGCCCTGGTCTGGGAAGATCCCACATGCCGCGGAGCAACTAAGCCCATGCGCCACAACTACTGAGCCTGTGCTCTAGATCCCACGAGCCACAACTACTGAGCCCACATGCCACAACTATTGAAGCCCACAGACCTACAGCCCGTGCTCCGCAACAAGAGAAGCCACCACAATGAGAAGCCCACGCACCACAACGAAGAGTAGCCCCTGCTCACGGCAACTAGAGAAAGCCTGCACACAGCAACGAAGACCCAACTCAGCCAAAAATAAATTAATTAATTAAAAAAAAAAGAGGGTGTTAAGTGTTCTTATCACAAACAAACAAAAGGACATAAGGAAACTTTGAGAGGTGATGTGTATGTCTATTACCTTGGTTGTGGTAAAGATCTCACAAGTGTGGGCATGTGTCCAAACTCATAAAATTGCACACATTAAATCTGTGTCATTCTTGGTTTATCAGTTAGGCCACAATAGACCTGCTTTAAAATAACTCCAATCTTTTGTAATGCTCTGCAACATCTAGGGATTTTTTTGTATTTTTCAACCAACTCCTATTTTTTTTAACATCTTTATTGGAGTATAATTGCTTTACAATGTTGTGTTAGTTTCTGCTGTTTAATAAAGTAAATCAGCTATATGCATACATGTATCTCCATATTCCCTCCATCTTGCGTCTCCCTCCCACCCTCCTTATCCTATTCTTTCTCCCATTCTGAGTGTTGTCTTTTCGTATTATTTATGGTTTCCCTTGCTGTGCAAACGCTTTTACGTTTCATTAGGTCCCGTTTGTTTATTTTTGTTTTCATTTCCATTTCTCTAGGAGGTGGATCAAAAAGGATCTTGCTGTGATTTCTCTCAGATTTTTCATCATTAGTGTATAGGAATGCAAGAGTTTGTATCCTGCTACTTTACCAAATTCATTGATTAGCTCTAGTCGTTTTCTGGTAGCATCGTTAGGATTCTCTATGTACAGTATCATGTCATCTGCAAACAGTGACAGCTTTACTTCTTTTCTGATTTGGATTCCTTTTATTTCTTTTTCTTCTCTAATTGCTGTGGCTAAAACTTCCAAAACTATGTTGAATAATAGTGGTGAGAGTGGGCAACCTTGTCTTGTTCCTGATCTTAGTGGAAATGGTTTTGGTTTTTCACCATTGAGGACGATGTTGGCTGTGGGTTTGTCATATATGGCCTTTATTATGTTGAGGTAGGTTCCCTCTGTGCCCACTTTCTGGAGAGTTTTTATCATAAATGGGTGTTGAATTTATCAAAAGCTTTTTCTGCATCTATTGAGATGATCACATGGTTTTTATCCTTC